AAAAGTTAAATTTGAATTTGAAAAAGTTGAATTTAAAAAAGTTGAATTTGAAAAAGTGAAATTTGAAAAAGTGTGAGTTGCTTTGTTTAAAATGAATATGTTCTATTTACACACTACATCATTCACACGAACACTGCCGTTAAAAGTACAGCAAGTGAAATGGCGCTAAGACACACTTCAGAAAAGTACACATTTAGTAGGCCTACTCAAATTTTAATTATTATATTAAATTGGCAAATTCACGATTTTTATACTACTTCGTTTGGGTGAGAGGATTTTTGTGTTGGGCGGAGAAAAAAATTAACACTTTCAAGGCGACATACTTTTAATTATTTCATTGAATTGCCCCACTTTCATGTATATCCATAATTTTCATGATAAATTCTTTACGAACATGCAGTGCCGTAGGTAAGTTTGGTGTTAATGGGTGCGATAAACTCATGGTGTCACCCCCATGATGAAGTGACATATTAAGTTTTGGAGAAATTCTTATGACTTTTCTTTAATTAACTTCCAAGGGTCTTTAATTTTACCAACACATTTTTTTTAAATGAAAGAAAAATATGAGAAATTAAAGAAAAAATATCAAATATTTAATTTATCCAGGGATTCGGTGTTAAAGTTATAATTAATTTTGTTGTGTTCGCGAGTTTCCCAAGCATTCATTTGTATAATTTGTTTAACTTTCAAAACGTATCACAAAAGATGGAAGCAAGCTGGAGGATGGCAAAGAATTTCAGATATGTAACACAACGTCATGTCCTGGTAAGTTGGAGAAGGTTAAAATGAGTTTTAAGGATAAAAGGGGGAAGTTTCATTAAAATGAAAGAAGTGCACAAAGTAAGGGAATATCTGAAATGGGCAACATGAAAGAACCGACATGTGGGCAAAACAATGAACAAAATCAAGTAAACCAAAAAAAAATAATAATAATAAAATAACGTATTTGATATTCTGTAGAATTCGAAAATAATCGATTTGGTATCATACGTGTACTGCTCTCAAATTTGTTCAAATCATCAATCAAATAAAACTGAAAGAAAAGCACACACTAGTTTCGCATTCCGGCCTTAGGGCATGCTTGTTAAACGCAACCTCCATGAACAGTGGCATAGCTAGGGTTGGTGTCATCTATTGCGTTAAACTCATGATGTTACCCCATACCCCGCTCTGCATCCCAACTTCCAGAATAGATTTATTCTTTTAAAAATAAGTTCACAGTATAATAATGAGAGGCCCAAAACAAATTATGTAACGGGCAGGATGAACATGTATTAAAGAGCTGTAACAACGTTAAGTTATAGTTAGTTTTACATTACGTTTAATTTCTTTTTAAAAAAATCTTTCCTGGTCTTCAAAGCTGCAAACCCGCAAATAATTTAATCAAAATCAATATCCTTCACTGTATCCATTTCAGTTGATAGTAGAGCCAGATCAGAAAGCCTTGACTGTCCCACGGTGAATCATATATCCATTTCAGTTGATAGTAGAGCCAGATCAGAAAGCCTTGACTGTCCCACGGTGAATCATATATCCATTTCAGTTGATAGTAGAGCCAGATCAGAAAGCCTTGGCTGTCCCACGGTGAATCATATATCCATTTCAGTTGATAGTAGAGCCAGATCAGAAAGCCTTGGCTGTCCCACGGTGAATCATATATCCATTTCAGTTGATAGTAGAGCCAGATCAGAAAGCCTTGACTGTCCCACGGTGAATCATATATCCATTTCAGTTGATAGTAGAGCCAGATCAGAAAGCCTTGGCTGTCCCACAGTGAATCAGAAATAGTTTTGAAAACCTTCGCTCACATAAAGCCACAGACGCATGAATGGTAAAAAAAATTGAAGGCTTAGTGAGAATATTGGAAGAGATTCTAGGAAGTCCCATCATGACATGAACTACTTTGTGAAATTCAATATAAGCTACCTTTAGGTGTCTTATAAGCCTTGGTCTTTCTTTTTAAAGTTCACATTCTGATAACTCATCACAGAAAGAGGTTAATTTAGGAACGGACATCAATATCTCTTCTTCTCTTGCTGATAGTAGACTCTTGAGTTGAACAGCCCCACACATATCTGCTACTTCCTTTATTTCTAATGTTCTGATCTAGGGTTAAGAATTAAAGAGAATAATACACTCCAGCATCGACATATTGTTTTATTTTCTGAAACACAGTCTACAACACTATTAATTGTTCTCCTGTCATTCCGTTCTTAAACCTTAATCTTCTCTCTGCCGACATTCCAATATTGGTCTGATATTAAAAGTGTCTCTTCAATAGCATGTGCCACCAAGTGACAATGCCTCTCGTGCAGAAACAATGTGAAGGCCTCCAGGCTGGTCACCACTTCGTCAAGAGTAAAGCCTTTAGTCTGTAGATACTGCTGTGTAGGATTAACCTCCTCAAGTAAATCAGCCCAAAGGTAAAGGTAGCAGATAAACGTGAAATCACAGATGGCGTGTAAGAACCGTGGCCTGCATGACAATCGTGCTCAAACGTTAAGGGGTTCTACTACTGACGTATCTGCTAAAATATTTATTTTTAAGTATTTGTAGGTTTCGATAGATTTGGCTACAGAAACCTTTAAAAATAATTAACTTAATAATTAAAAGATATTAAATTTTAATAAAAAAATTATTTTTGGGATCCCTATAAATGGCTAAAAGGTCATTTTTTAATGTTTTTAATTTTTACAGATTCGATTTATGTACTTAGAATCACCCGTCCACTTCTTAATTGGTATCAATAGAAAGCTTTATTTCTCGGAATTTACCAAAAGTGTTACCAAACACTTCAATCGGCGTTGAATCATGATCAAAATCGTGTTTTTTAAACTATTTTTTATGGTCATCTCATTTCTGATGTATCAACTTTGAACTTTTAATAAGGCGCGCTATTGAATTGGTTACATGTATTTAAAATGTACGTGTGATCGTATTTCCCTTTATGAAATTCTGTTGGACCGAGCAGTGTGTGCTCTGTAAATTTGCAATTTTTCAATTTGGTGTCGCCCCTGAGATGATGTCGACCGGTGCGGTCCGCACCCCTTAACACCCTATCTACGCCACTGTCCATGAAATTTAAATCACCATTAATCAACCCCAAAACAAAAACAAATTTTTTTTTTATAAATCCTTTAAATCCATTTTTAATTTTTGTTTTATCATAATATTCCGATGTCTCGCCCGCTTTGACATCGCAAATTTATTTTACCAATAATTTCAGGAAAACATAAGAAAATATTACGAACCAAACGCACTTGAGAATTTTTTTTAAAAATCTTAGTTAGCGCAGATATCGGGAATTGTATTTCGTGTAATCCCCGTCTTCAAATTACCTTCATCTTCTCCTTGGAACAAACACCGGTAAAACTGATTTTGAGGGTTGTGGGGTGGGGCTGTGAACTTAGAGGAATGTGCAGTTATTGGCAACAAGTATGTGTGCAAAGCTTCAGCTCCATACGTTGACGGGAAGTGGGTCAATTAACCGTTCAAAGATTTAGCCCTATACACACAAAAAGCAAAGTTACTATAAAGGATTTAATAATAAGTACCAACAGCTGCAATCGTAGCCAATCTAATAAACGTCTAAAAAGTGATTGAATTTTAAAAAAAAAAAAAATTACCTTCCCTCTGGACATACTCAGATAGAAAAATGGTTTCAGTTGCTCCAGTTGCTAGGTAATTTACACTTTACACCATCCTTTGAAAAATGCTAAGTATGGGAGATATTATGTCGTCGCATTGGAGACCACTTTAGAGACGAACTGTGCAGTTTAAATAAACAAGCCCTAAGTCGCATTTCGAAACATTTCACCAGTACTAACCACAATTGGATCTTAGACCTTTCAGTGACTGCTATTATTGTATGCGAGGTACTACTAGAAGAATGTGTAAGCAAAACAAATGAATTAAAAATAGTTGATATTTTACTTCATAAGGTGCCGGGTCTTCATTAAAATCACAATTTGGCATAGTTGTTCCTTTAAAAAAATTATTGCAACCCAGGACACTTTTTTTCCCTTCTTCTGATCTTTTTTTTTTTCCCATGGGCTATTGCTCAATTGTTTTTGTTTTTTTTTGTTTTTTTCGAAAGAGGTAGGGTATAAATAGACTAATTTAGACAATCCGCTCCAGGATGTGGGTCTGTGAATCTGTGAAGGGTTCTCTCCCTTTAGTTTATTCTTGTGTTATTACTAGAGTTAACTTTTCTTTGATCCGACGAGAGAACGTTTTAAATCAAAGTGAAATATTATTTAATTTAATGTTATTCTTTTAAAAAAATCATTTGAACTGATTAAGGCTTTAGTCAAACTGTTAAATTGTTTTAGTTGTCTTCAAATAAGTTAAAAGTTAAATAAGCTGCAAATATGGTTTTATTTAGCAAATATGTCTGTTTCTCATTAATTCAATATTTTTTTAACGATAAAACTCTAAGATTGTTATTTTCCTATTAATATCATTCGTTATTTTTAAGTTACGCTACGAAAATATATTTGTCCACATTCTTTTATTGTACTTTGTTCTTCTGAACACTTTCACTCATGTTTATTATAACAGTTAAAAGCCTCTTACCTTAAAAAAAAAATATTCATTGCTTAACTAGGGCTGGGGCATTAAAACAAATGTTGTTACATTAATTTGCAACCTCTAACTTACCAGGTAATTCTGCAGTCATATTTTCATAGACTCTTATTTGGATGATGACTTCCGAGTTTATGGGTTGAATTCCGACACCCCCCCCCCTTTTCCGCCCCCCTTTTCCCTCCTAATTTTCTATAATTGCTGTGTCCTTAAGTTCATGGGGGCCACTTCGCTCACATCTGGGGACGGCACGAGTCGAATTAGCAAAGGCTACTTTTTTGACGACGAGGTAGCCCGAGATTAACATTACTACACAAGACCCAAGGAGTTGTGCGTTTTTACCACTGAAAAAGAATGTCTTTATGGCTCACACTTAAAAATAAATCAAATAATCATTAAAAAAAATTTTTTTAACTTTTCAAGTTGATGGTCAGTTTGGTCAGTGGTCTGACTGGATAGCAAGTACACCGTGTGGCCAAGGCATAAAGAGGAGAACACGTAAATGTGACAGTCCAGCTCCCATTAACGGCGGGAAGAGATGTAAGGGAAACAAATTCCAATTTAAAGGAATTTACAATCTATCATGTCCAGGTAATAATTTTTTATATGTGATCTAATTTATAACATCAGAAAGCCTCGTGCCATTTTTAAAAATTAATTTGATATTATCATAAAGGTGATAATCTGATAAGTGTTTATATATGTGTTCGATCTCAACATTAGGAAACATTCAGTATTAAAGTTTACCATTTTTAACCCCTTGAAATCTTAAGCCATTTAAAACTAAACGTTAAGAGTACTTATTTTAAGAGGTAAAAGCTAAATTATATTGTTGACACAATTTATGTATATAAACAGCATGCGCTCCCTACCCAGGCTTCAATTATACGGCACTGTAAGAATGTAGATGTTTCGGCTACACGCATTCATCACTAAAACAAAAACACAAATTAAAGGAATGTAAATTAAGTTTATAATAATATATACCCGAGCCATTGAATAAAAAAAGGAAGTTAATTAAAACTAAATAGTGAAATTATTAGATATGCAATTCCAAGAGAGAGTAAAAATCAGAAGTTACAAAATAAAATCCATGATAACATCCTCTTGCCTTCCAAATTCCATTCCTTCCCGGTACAAGACAATTTGTAAAAGTAAATAGGAAACAAAGGAAATGGGAAAACCTGAAATAAGTTTAAACAAAGCAATGATCACGTTGGCAAAAATCATACCAAAAATCATACCAAAATCATACCAGAAATCATACCAAAAATCATACCAAAAATCATACCAAAATCATACCAGAAATCATACCAAAAATCATACCAAAAATCATACCAAAATCATACCAGAAATCATACCAAAAATCATACCAAAAATCATACCAAAAATCATACCAAAATCATACCAGAAATCATACCAAAAAAAACAAAAAAACAAAGCAAACAACAACAGAAATATAAACCAGTTGCGGCCTTATAATTACGTCTTTTGTCGAAGGGAGATAAGGCAGGGGAATAATAGTCTAGTATAGATCAATGTTACGACGAAGATGTTAGTTGTCTGATACCATCTTCACCGACGTAGCACATAATGACAAACGCATAAATGTCTTTGCGACTAGTACAAGATGAACCACTTCATATCATAAATATGCGCTAATCAAGGGGGTTTGTCTGGGCAGAACTAACAGCACTGTAACATATTTATTTGACTTCTTATATGAGCAATATAAATATATATTCAAACAGAGCTATTTATTGCGTGGTTGCATCAATCGCTACAAGTGTGTGGACCATTTTGGATTCGCGTATAAGTTAAATATGCTACAGCCTAGGGCCTCACAATCTGATGGCAATATATTTTGATTTTCTCTATGACCAACTGATGGTTTTGGGGGCCCCTGGACTTTGTATAGCTTAGGACCTCAGCAAGTCTAAGACCGGCTGTGGTGTGGAATAAATTTTGAATATCCATGCTTCTCCCGTGGACAGCTGTATGAAGAAAAACCTTCTCATTTATTCGTGCACGCACCAGAAAGAAAAACTAAAATATTGTCTCTATAAAAAGTACTTGAAAAAAAAAAATTAACGCATGCCGGGTACTCGCTAGTAGACAATAAACACGTGCGACTGTCTACAACTTCCGTAACTTACTGACATTGAGCGGAGAGAAGATAACTCTAATATTTTTAAATGTATACCATTTAAGCGCCATTTTCAAATTCTGTCAGAAACAACTAACTAACTAACGCACATATTCTGGTGAAGGTCTGAGATTACTCTCTTATGACCCCGGCTAGTAAATTGGCTATCAACTCCATCTGTTGAGCTGAGCCATACAACATGTCCCTCACAAAGGATCCTCCAACCGCCCTGGCTTCCCCCGGGAGATCTAGTGCGGGACACTCCGTCAACAGATGCTCTAAGGTCTCTGGGGCCAGGCTGCAATGCCGGCAGGTAGGATCTCTGTTGTTGTCCAAGTCAGAAACAACTAAAGTGCAAGACTCAACACTTTGAAAGACGCTGACTTTATAGAGTAAGGATTACGTAACAATTGCATTATAATTTAAAACTATTTCACACTTTGCTTGTTAAAATCCCCAGTATTTTTGTCATAATGATAATCACTGATTAAGAGTTCATTTGTTTACCGGTAGTTTTCGCCGATTGGATCAACTGAGCTGAGGATGCATCAGAGGCGTAGCGAGTGTGTTTGGCGACCGGGGACAAGATTCGCGCCCGGGGACAATATCCATTTTAAAGAGCCCCCTTTTCTTTTTTTTCAACTCTCAAACCCATTATTTTTACCAATAATATAATATCAAAGCACATTTTGGCGCCCCTAACTAGCTGGCGCCGGGGGACATCTGTCTACCCTGCCAACCTCGCTACGCCTCTGGGAGGTATAGGGTTTAGTTATTTCTCACAATCATCACATAACCGTAGTTATTATGACTTCTCTGTAAACTATTTAATGGAATTTTAAGAAAGGGAGTTGGTAAACATGCCCTGTGTATTTAGTACTATATTATACAGACCGTATTGTATATTAAAGAACAGGCGTAGACGTTCCATAGCAGAATATGTTGACCTATTTAACTTAGTAATATATATATATATCCACCCGGGTGGATGGGACTCGTTAGCCTTGGAAGGCAATTCATCTAAGAGAAGGCTAACTCTGAATTCAAACCAGGAGCCAAAATGATCTATACATTGATCGTGGGCCCTCAAATATGAAAAAAAATGTTAATGAAAAGGCTGTAGGTATAAGTTAGCACATTCTGAATTAAATGCTATTTAACTAGAACAAAGACCACATTTACTGATTTTGGGGATAAGGTCTAGTATAATTTAGAAGTCTATTTAATGGTAATAGCGTATTTTAGAGAAGAAAGAAAAATATGAGCAAATTAACTCGCGTTTTTTAAAAACGTATTTCATAATAATTTCTTTTAAAATGCAACACACCGTCTTTTTGCCAGACTGCAATAACCATGAAAGAAATTGTACGCGATCAAAACAAAATTACATTTCATGCATCATTTGTCATTCACGGCTCCATTGTGGTAGGGAAGGCGAACTCTCCTGTCTTCAATGGACAAGGTAATCGGAAGCTATACTGCAAACGGATTTCACCGGATTCCAAGACTGGCGGACGAGACCGGATACGGTATAAAAAAACAAATGCAATGACACAGTTTTATTTTTTATATAATGATCCAGATGTTCCAATTTTTTTAAAATGAGGAAATAAAAAAAGAACATTTCATTGTGACATCGAAATTTAAACAATTCTTTTACTTTGAAGTAAAAAAAAAAAGCTGCAAACAAAATCAGTGTAAGATGTGGAAACTCAAACTGTCTGTAGATTCATCAAAGATTTGTTCCCCCATCAAATACAATTTTTATTGCTAGTCTCAGAACAAAATTCCTATCTATATAATATGGCAACCAAATCGTCCTCATTTCTTTGTTACATGAAGTTTAGGTGTTTAAATATTAGTTCAGAAATATGTGTGTCACCACCTATTTTTCTGTCTCTCAACTTTTGTAAAGATAACACAAGGATCAGCTCTCTGGATCACCATCATGTGCAATGGATATACTCATGAAATGTCACAAACATCGTGGATGGTCTTCAAGAAATCGTGTCTTAGGTAACTGTATTAGGTAACTGTCTTAGGTAACTGTTGATTAGTATGACTTATGTACAATTAAAAAAGCAAGATGTCACAAGCTTCCTACAAAAAAAAACAAAAAAAACAAGAAAAGTGAACTCCCACAAGTTGTATGACACTGGCACGGCCCTTGCCTAGCAACTATTATATTATTAAATTTAAATATTTTTGACTTGATTTTTTTTTTTTTTTTAATAATTGATTTGTTTATAATTTTATAGTTTAATACATGATTGGACGAAGACTATTTGAAAATTTAATTTTTAAATTAAAAAAAAAAAAAAAATTTATTGCTGGCATCCGTCCGTCACAAAGTTTCAATGAAATGGACTTTCGCTGGACGAAATCCACAGGACCTGGGATTCTTCTTCTAGGATTATAAGCTGGTTCCCAACAGCAAATCGAGTCTTTCCACGCCGCTGGACAACCCGTATATCTTTATGTATTAAACTCATGCTTTCATTGATATTTAAAATATTTCATTGTTTTGTGGTTTTTATCTAATTTTTGTTTCGTTCATTTATAATTAGATGCTGGTATGGAAGATTCTTTAAGAAGGAAAATGGCAAGATTATTCAAATGTGTAATGGCAATTATTTTAAATGTGAAATAAGATTTGATGGTATAAAATTAATGAAATAATAAATATAAGGAAATATATCATAATTAACTAGACAAAAACACGCGCGCGCACCCACCCACCCACCCACCCACACACACACACACACACACACACACACACACATATATATATATATATTATATATATATATATGTATTTATATGGTTGTGTATTAATTTCGTACAATGGTCAAGGGTCACCAATCAAACAAAAAAGAAGATCAAAGCTTAAGTAAATTGTAACTTAATTAAAGAGAACACAGTCACAACTTCAGCAAAAATATACAATACATAAGATGAGAATGTTAGCAGGGACAGCACATAAATAAACAGCAACCACAGATTCAGCAAGTTGTAATTTATAATTTTATTATAAGATAAAGATAACCACGTCTTACTTGAAAGTAGCAGGGGTTTACACATACAGACAATCAACAGAGTCAGCTAGCAATTAATATTATATCTAAAACAGCATGAGCCTATTCAAAAAAAGTTTTTAAGTTGCACTTATTACATCATTTTGCTCAGTCTGTCTCAGGGAAATTCTCTTAACGCAACCCGACACTTTATCTTTGAATCCTTACGGACTGTGATGGTGGCTCTACAGACTGTAGACAACTGTAGAGCAGTCTTTCTACACTCTACTTCAAATGGATAAAATTAAAATAGTGGCTCGATTGATTCATTTGTTAATTCCAGAATTTCATCCAAGAAGCTTTCAAGATTTATTCAAAAATGTATCTACAGCTACAATTTGTAGGCGAACAAAAATAATTTAAACTTAATTTTCTTATTATGCCACAATGAATCAGT